GGTTTCAGTTTTGATCTTTTATTTACATTTCAGTTTTGTTTAAATTTGTTTGTTTACTTTTTTTTATTTTTTCAGAATTCGAAATCTGATGTTTTGTGGAATTGTTATTACAAATCAAAATTTTTAAGTTATTTCATATTCAATAAATTCAATTATAAAATCCAAAACCAACTATATATATGTATGTATGTATGTATATGTGTGTGTGTCTATATATATATATATATATATATATATATATATATTAAAGGAAACTTTTATTCATCCAAAGAGGGAAAAAGGAATGTATTACAGGCCCAGAGAGCTAATAGTTCACTCGGGTATTTTTGAAGGTGTGAATACCAAATCTAAAAACATTGGAATTGTAAAGAAAGGTTGTATCCATTTTGTGTGCCCAAAACCAAGTTTGCACCAAGAGGTTGATGGACGTCATGAGTCTGTCCCGAGAAAAACTTCCAGCTTCAAATCTGATAGAGTTGTAGCTCTTCCATACTGACCAAGTTATCAGTCCTGGGAGGATCATACGAATGTTTCCTTTGATACTGGATTTGTTGGAAGAAAACCACCAGCTTAGCAAGGCTTGATGGAGGGTGAGATCACAAGTGAAGGAGGGGGCACCAGCTGCATAAGCGTAGGATTTCCACACCTCTGCTACCCTGTTACAATTTATCAGAATGTGGTGCTCATCTACGTTAGCCTCATTGCAAAAGGGGCATAGTGCCGGAATGAAGATCTTCAGCTTTTGAAGGTGACATGGAAAAGGAAGAAGCCTATTTAATCCCCTCCAAAGAAATAAACTAATCTTTCCCATCTGCCTCTTGTCCCAAATGTAGGAGCAGCTGGTTTGCTTTGGCATGTGATCAATTGTGGAAAGATAGGCTTTTTGAAAGCTGTAGGATCCTTCATTCCAAGTTATTTCATCCTGGGTGATTGTGCAAAAAGGAAGAGTTCTTGGGACAATTTTACATATTGCTTTCCATGTGTAGGAGTCGTAAGGCTGAGGTCTGTATTGGCCATCCCTAAGGTACTTCATCTTCATGTACTTGCTCCAAATTGATTGTCCATGAGTGATTTTCCACCAAAGATCAATGGATGCAGCTTGTTGACAGTGCGTGAAGTTCCTTAGTCCAAGTCCACCCTCTTCCCGGGGCAAGCACATTCTCTCCCATTTGCGCCAGTGATATTTGTACCCATGGTCCTTAGCACCCCAGAAATAGTTTGCCATTAGTCTGTTAAGACTCTTAAGAATTGACTTGGGAATTGTTTGTGCAGCCAGAATATGTAAAGGGATTGAGGAAAGTACATGTTTGATGAGAACGAGTCTTCCCATTTGGTTTAGCTTTTTGCTATACCAAGTGTTAATTCTCCTCTCGAACTTATCAATCAAGTCTTTACAATGAATTTTCCTCAGCTTTCCCTTTACTATAGTCGATCCAAGATAGGTGAACTCCTTTGAGTTACAGTGGATTCCCAGGATTCTTTTAATACATCTCTTGGATGATGGGTTCATTTTTTCATGGACAATAACTTGGCTTTTGGCAAAGTTTATTTCCTGTCCAGAAGCCTTCATGAAGGTGGAGAGAGCACTCCTGAGTTTTAAAAGATTTCTGGAATCTGCATTGGTGAAGATTACAATATCATCTGCATAAAGTAAATGACTAGGAGGATGGACTCTACCAGATGAGAAGGGGCTCAATAACCCATTTGAAGTGCAGTGTTGGAGCATTCTGGTCAGCCCTTCCATAGCAAGGATAAAGAGGAGGGGGGATAAGGGGTCCCCTTGTTTAACTCCACATTTCATGGGAAAGAAACCTTTTGGCTGGCCATTGATCAAAACAGAGAAGAAAGTGGACTCTAAATTCCCCATAAGCAGTTTGATCACAATAGGAGAGAAACCAAGTTTCAAAAGTAATTCCCTTAAAAATTTCCAAGAGAGCTTATCAAAAGCTTTGGATAGGTCAAGCTTTATAATGCAGTTTCCCCCCCTCACCTTAGCGGAAAGTTGATGGACCATTTCCTTAACCATGAGAACATGCTCGGTGATGCCTTTTCCTTGTTGGAAAGCAGCTTGTTCTAAGGAGATAAGATTAGGGATGATCATTTTTAGCCTGTCGCTCAGGAGTCTGGAGGTTATTTTGCTAAAGAAAGTAGAGAGTGAGATGGGTCTGAAATGATCCAAGGTAATCGCCCCATCAGTTTTTGGAATGAGTGTAATTAAGGTGCTTCCAAAAGCCTTGGGCATAGGAATTCCCAAGAAATATTCCTGAACAGCTTTGCAAACATCCACTTTTATAATCTCCCAAGCATATCTGAAGAAATAGCCATTGAATCCATCAGTTCCAGCTGTGCTATTGGCATTGAGGGACCATATTATTTTCTTAATTTCCTCCTCTTCTGGTATGGCTCCAATGGCTACGTTTTCTGCCTCTGAGACAGTGCTGGTGAGGTGTCTAAGTATACCATCCATTTCACCCTCATAATTTTTAGAGAAGACCTTAGTGAAATGTTCCACTGCCTCTTTGGCTATGTCATCCTGGTGGGTGTGTATTGAGCCTCCAGCCCCTTTTAGAGATTTTATTTTCAGCCTACTTCTTCTCCCTTTCACAAAGGAGTGGAAGAAAGCCGTAGAAGCATCTCCTTGGGAGATCCATCTAATATTAGCCTTTTGAGCCCAAAAAGATTCTTCTTTCTTCAAGGCTTGCTGCAGGAGAGCATTTGCAAGCTTGAATTCAGTAAGGTTTTCCTCACTATCATTCTGTTCCAGGATTTCCTCTGCCTTATTTGCCCTATCCTCTGCTTTGGAGACTGCCTCGAAAATGTTACCAAAGGTTTCCTTATTCCAGGTGATAAGGGCCTTCTTTAAATTTGACAGCTTCAGACCCAGTCCTCTCATACCTCCTCCTGTGTAGCTCTCTGGCCAGTTTGATTTTAGGAGGTCATTAAAGGAGGAGTGGGAGCACCAAGCATTGATGAATTTGAAGGGTTTAGGTCCTGTAGGCTGATTTGGAAAGGCCTTCAAAAGGAGAGGTCTATGGTCTGAATTACCTCTGCCCAGGTGTTCTATTTCAGTGAGCTGGAAATGGTCCATAAAGAGTTCATTTGTGAGAATTCTGTCAAGCCTTCTGTAAACCCTACCTCTTCCTCTTTTACCAAACCAAGTGAATTGACTTCCCAAAAATGGAGGGGAGAAGAGTTCACAGTCGTGTATGGTTTGCACAAAGTCTTCAATGCCTCCAATATTTGGACAGACCTCCCCTTTGTGTTCAGTAATTGAGGCAACAGTGTTGAAATTTCCTCCTCTCTCTCTCTCTCTCTATATATATATATATATATATATACTCGCATAATATTTTAAAATCATTTAAAATAAAATAAAACATAAAACATCTATTCATATTAAAAACTTCTCAACATTCTTAACAATTAAATAACTGAATAAACTGAATAGTAAAAATATCAATAGAAGAAGCTTGGCCCATCCATCAGCGACCCCTCTCACTGTCCTCCAGGCTGCTCATGTGATCCTTGATTCCTAAGCTTGCCCCACTAGGCCTAAATCCTAAAACTTAACCTATGGTGATTTCAATATCCTTATCACCTCAATTCAGTTCAAAACCCCCTAGGTATAAGGTGGCCTATTTCTCAATTCCAATATCGTACACTATCGCCAATATTCTTAATTCTTGTGTATTTAATCAATTAGACATAAATTAAACCAAATCTTGAAATTATGCCCCATTTCACAAATTTGGAAAACTCAGTTTTAGTTTTAATTGAAAGTTCCAAGTTGACCCTCTCTTCATGCCTGCATCCGGACCCGGACCCAGACCCTTCTCCTTCGGTCCAGAACAGCTCGTCTGCAAAGAACAAGGCAGCAGCAGACCAATTGGATCCAGCAACCAGCGAGATAGCGGTGCTCTGGCAAGGCAGCGGCTACTCTGTGATGCAGCAGCGGCGTGGGCGGTGACAGACCTTCAACGACGGCAGCGGAATTTCAACGTCAGCCTCCCCTAGCCGGTAACAGCAGCAGCAACCAGGCAGGGCAGCGGCAACCCAACGGCAGCTTGCTCCTCGGTGAAACAGAAGCAGTGAATCACGTTCATAACAGCGATGACTCTTCACCGGAACAACAGCAACTCCTCGGCCGATCACCGGCGACCATCCACACGGCGAAACAACGCTCCCTTACACAGCAATTAACGAGGAACAGAGCAAGCAGTAACAAATATTTGACAAGCCGTAAGTTTGTCTTTCGTTAAAATATATATACACTTTGACAATCTCACATTTTCGTGGACGGAGGGAGTATATATTTAGAGAAATATTCATTATTGGTCAAACTAAAAGATTCGTTATAAATAGCCGTAAGAACGCTCAATTTTGGGACAATATTACATGTTTCTCTTATCTTATGAGTTTATGTTTTTGGGTTTCTATGAAGAGGCAAAACTCATGGTAAGTGACAGGTTTAAGTGTAGATCCAAGGCTTGGAGGCCTGATACCGGGTTAAGTAGGAAACTCAATTTATCTTGATCATACAAATGTCAAAAGTTTCCTAATGCATGTATAAGATTTGGAGGCAAGTAGGCAACTAAATGAAGAAAAATAAAAGCAATGTATGATAAGACAAGTATACTGATCATGCTTTAAGTTGTGTTGAGTGTATGCTATAGGTTTTGTTGTCCTGAAAAATATATACACACTTAATCAAATGAAATGGGAGAACAATAATTGTTGCAGTTGGCTAGGCTTTTTAGAAAAAGCTTACATAAACATGTCCATATTAAGTATGAGCGACACCCCTTCAAATTAAGCATTTGCCTTATATATATATATATATATATCTGTGTGTGTGTGTATATATAAATGTGTGTGTGTGTGTGTGTGTATATATATATATATATATATTCCTGGACTAGATCTGATGTCTTTTTGTCAATTTTCACAATTTATTCCGTCTAATACTTGAATTGCAACATATTAATTTTTCATGTTTACAGGTGTATTACATGTTCAACAGCTTCTCACTGTTTAGGGAACCAATGATGTTAATATCGGGATTTTTCTTCTTTTTTCTCACATGCATAATTTATGTGCATGCTGACTTAACAATCTCAAAGTCTTCTGCTTCTTATTTGGCAAGGAAGCAATGGGATGAGGTATTGGGTGAATACATTTAGTTTCCATATGGATGGACAGTAATAGCTCAATTATTTGGCTACAACACTTGTTTTTTCCTCCTGTTTTCAGGTACAAACTGCTTTTCAAGAAGTTGAGAGCATCATAAACCATTGCTTGACTATTCATGATACACTAGAATCATCGTTGCGCGATCTCTCAAGGACAGGGGATATTCAGGCTTGCAAAGCTGCTCGAAAAGCAGCTGATGGTGCTTTGAAGGAGCTCTCGGTAGAATTGAAGCCCTTATTATCATCCTTGCAGTCCTTCCCACAGGCTGGTCCAATCTGTCACAAGGTTCATTCTTCACCTTTATTGCTAAATGGTTACCATATTCTCAAGTAGCATGAATTAAATATGAATGAATTCTTTCAAGAAAGCATTGAGGGCCCATTTTTTCCCGAAGCAGTGTTGAAATGGGATGAAGTTTAATACTAGGAAGAAATGGAATAAGTTTTGATATCCTTGGCATGACTGTTTGTTGAAAATCATAAAAAGTACTTGACTGCTTCAATGAAAATCTATTAAGAACTTCTGTATAGGGAAAACCGAGAAGAATAACATGAACACTAAGCCAGGTGCAAAAAACAGCATGAGCTAAGTGCCTAAGCATTTTATTAAGTACTCCGTATGACACCAACTTTGGGAGAGAATGCACTCGACGGCATGCAAAGTGACACCGTCACTATACATACAGTGTCAGTAAAACAGATTGTAATTTGTAAACTTGAGCAGAAGAGCTTACTATGGCCTAGGTACAAAAACTATGACGAATTAAACATTTTTTAGTAATGATACAAAGAATGAGCAATCAGATGTACTAAGTAGTAGACATCAGTTCTGCTATCACCAGGTATCCCTGTTACTCTGCTCTCATTTTCCCTCGACAACTAAAGTCATCCCTTTATTCTCCATTAGCCCAAACTGGAAATCATGAAAACTGTTATACTCACCCTGTCCAAACAAGAGTTTTAGTTTTCTTTTCGCCTTTGGAGAGCTAGGGTTAGGGTAGTTGGGTAGACGTTTTGGAATCAGTGGCAGTTTTCCCACCTGTTCTATGTGCTTCCTTGTTGGGTGCTTTATGCTTGCTATGCTTTTCTGTTGTTATTTTTAGTTCTTCGATATTTTGTGCTGTATGCTCTCTCTGCTATATGTTTCTTCTGTGATCTTGTGTCATCCGTGCTATGTGTATTACTTGAGCTGGGGGTCTCTTGGAAACAGCCTCCCTACTTTCGAGTAGTGGTAAAGTCTGCATACACATACCCTCCTCAGATCCTATTTTCGTGAAAATTCTACTGGGTTGTTGTTACCTTTCCAAAATAAGGTTTTTTGTTCCATTTAAAGAAAAAATATTGTGTTTACTATCACTTTTTCATTCCATGAATTTGAACCACACAGTTTCAGTTGCTTAGTAACTGTATGTAGTCAAGCGCCAATCCTTTTTACGCGATGTGGTGATTACATTGAAAAGAAACAAACTATGGTTGAAGTGCAAAAAGCAACAAACACACTAAATGTCTTAACATATACGGAGCCTTTAATTGTGACACAAAGTATGTGGGTGGAGTCACTCAGCAGCATGCACAGTAACACCTTACTGCTGATTGCACCCCTCCAGTTTGTGCTATAATTAATGCATACAAAGTACTTTATTCGTGCGGTTTTTTGGACCCGGTCCACAACTTGTTTAAATTTCCCAATTATCCCTTCCTCTTATGGAGGTAAATTCTTGAATTATCTTGTTGAAGCAGTGGCATAAGATACACTCCTAACCCAACCTTGTATACTCTGATTGTGTAGGTTAATGATCTGGTTGAAAAGGAAAAGGAACTGCAAGAGAAGTTGTTATTGAAGCACTCAATAGTGATTGATTGTTATGAGAAAAAGTCAGGGGGGCGTGATATTGAAAAGCGTGTTGCACAAATCCAGCAAAAGATAACATCCCAGAGGCAGGAAGTCGATGATATTCTTCAGATAATCGATGACATATAATTCGCAAACTGAACAGTTTTATGAACTCCAACAAACTTCTTATACGCGTGTTCTTTTCAAAGAGGTGAATCCAATTTTTGTTGCGAATAGAGTAATTTTGACCTGTTTTTAGCATTGCAGCCTTTGTTTGCATTTTGACTGTTCTGTTCTGGTCCCTTGACTTTAATGAATACTTTTAGGCTCTGAGTTCGGATCCTTGCTATCGGATTTGATACTTTTTTATTATGGACTGACTGAAGCATTCTGATAATGGATTCTGTGAGTTTTTGAACTCCAATAATGGATCGATATTTTATTTACCATGAACTAAGTATTTATATGTCATTCTGTTTTGCTAGCCAGGAGTACATACATTTCATTATCATTGTACAGTCCTTGTTAAGGTTGGGTTTCTGAGGTGTTGGTTGACGAAGAACAAACCTTAATATAACTGGTTAGAGCCTAGATGCTGCATGGTTCCGGAATGACAATTGGATTTCGGTTTGGTTAAGGTCACAAGAAATTTTGAATGCATTTACAGGATAAAATTTTAATGTAACTTGATGAACCAACCTATCAATTAACAGTGACAAATTATGACTTCAATTAAATGTTTCTAAAGTACAACTTGGTTCCAAATTTAGAAAAAATTACTCTTGGGAGATGCAGATTCTTTTGCAAGTCATATTTTTCAAAATCACAAGAGACTTAATTTCTTTTTGAAAATACACCGGAAATACTTTCCGGTGCAATGTGTAATACTCGGATGAATAATATGTCGGAGTAAATCAAAGGCTCCATAATCTCCATTTTGTCATAATTCACTTGGTCTCTTTATAGAAACTTGTTTTTTTCTCAATATTTCTATGTAGTGCGTTTGTAATATTTATCAATGTTATTATTATAGAAGAAAATAAAAATAAACTAGAAAGTTAATAAGGGCAAAATGAGGTAAATAGGCAGTCTTTAATTTACTCCGCCATAACGTTAGAAATTGGTGTCAATCTCCGTAGTCTTCATAACAAAAATTTAAAAGCTGTATCTAGATGGTTCTAAAAAAAGGAGATGCGAGTTTTGGTTAGAAAATCACTGTCACCCACACCACAAGTACTCTTTGCAAAGAATTTGCTTCTGGAAGTGAACATCACTTGAATAGGCCGTTGGAGCAATAATTTGATTTTCTGGAACTTCGTTATTAATGAAGAAATACGTTAACTAAACCCGGAAAGATTGGCCTCATTTTGTTTTAGGATCTGGCGTCTCTTGCCACTAGTGGTTTTGTGTGTATGTGTCTAAACAAATCTTATCTCTTTTCATTGGCCAGATTTTGATTTTGTCCTGCATTATTCCCATTCATTTTGAAACCAAATTCTTCCATGCACCTAAGGTCCATCCTCATTATATGAACACTTGTAGTATAAAAAAAGTGAGCCTTTTCAAAAAACAAAATACTCACATGCAAGCCCATAAAATAATATGAAAAGATCTACATATTTTGAATGTGGATTTTGAGATCATGTAAGCATCACTCTTTATTTAAATCAATATGGAAACTAATTATTTAGTTTTCTATTCCTTATTAAAGTTTGAATATGAAATAAAGTAGGGAAAGTTATGGTAAAAACTAGTATGGAAACTAATAACAATATTTTCATTATACCCGCACCTCCACCTCCGCAAGCTAATTGCCGGTAATGAGGATCACCATGAAGCATAAGTACTGCAACGGAGCTGGTGGAAGCCCTTTTGTGAGAATCACGACTCGTAGGATAGATACAAATCTTCACCGCATGATGAACGAGTTTGAGGTGCGTTGCTGAGTTTTTTTAAGTGAGAGGTTTGGAGATTGGAGCAATGACAAGAAGTCTCTTTTTTTGGGCCATTTTCTCGCCTTCACTCCAGCTTTCCATTTGTTGGAATGTATGAGTTCAACCCTCTTTGTGTTGTTATATGTTGACTCACAGGTTTTGATAATTGACAAACACAATTTATTTAAGTCAAGATTAAAGTGCTACATCGGCAAACACGAAGACTTAAAGTGCCAAATTTCTTGAAGTATTCAAGAACATGCACAGGATTTAATTGGAGTTCGAAATGCGTACGGAGCGCTTAATGGAGGATTCGGGAGGAGTAGAAGATTTCCGAAGACTTTCATTTTATTGAGTCTATGAACATATTGTAAGGATGACAAATATTATCTTCTCTCCAAAATTATTTTTTATGAGAGTTAAAATAAAAATTATATCTATTTTTGGAGTCAGTTGAAAAATTCTTTTAACCATTCAAAATACTTTTATTGAGTAAGTTACAAAAGGTGTGTCAAACATTTTATCCAAATATTTATTTTGATATTAGAAACTATTTTTGGTAAGTTAAAATATTTTATTGAAATATTTTGTGTTCATCGTTTGGCACACAAAATAGTTTTGGAACTCGTTTTCTACACAAAAATACATTCTCATAATTCAAATTTGAATTTGAATTATTTTTATCAGTTGGGAGCCTCTTTTGGTCTAATTTCATGTCCCAAACAAGTGCTAAAATCCAATAAAGATTCACCTCGCACGCATGATTGTGTTCCTCATGTTTGGACATTGTTGCTGAAAAAAATTATTTTTACACTTTGAAAAATTCGATTATCATTTCGTCCGCAGAAGAAATTTTGCTGAAACTGCATTAATCAATTATTTGCACTGCATTAATCGATTATGTTGCTACATTTTTCAGCACAACTCCTTTTCTTGGACCAACAAATATATTCCTTCAACCCTTTTATAAACTTCATTTCTTGGCCATTTTTATTATGAACAAACATTCCAAAACTCCCCTATCTTGAGGTGATAATCCTTCTTCAAATTCTTTCTCAAATTGATATATTTTGAGATAAAACTAAGGGGGTGTTGGTTCGTGCTGAGGAAAGGGAAAGGAAACATGAAAGGAAGTCATGGAAAAGGAAATGATTACCTCCGAATTACCCTGTCTTTTGTTGGAATTTTTGGCATTTTTAATAGGCATTAAATAGATCAACTTGAGTATATTTGTCATTAGGTCCACTAAGGGTTTTAACCGTTAATTAATGAACGTATTTCCTCTTAAATGAAATGTTTTGACAAATATCACGCCAAAAATGGTAAAGGGTGAATGAGAAATTGATTCTCAGAGTTAACCCGTTAATAAAAGAATATGGTGAGGATTGCAATTTTTGCAATTTTACTAAACCAATCTTCTTTTATTAATTTAGTCCATTTTTACGGAGTTAACTGGCCATTAATCTCCAATTATTCGGGACAAATTTTAAACGGAGCGTAGCAGACGTGGTAATGGCTAATAAATCACCATTAACACATCATTAGTGTGCCACAAATGCCATGTTTAATACTAAGCCTTAATGGTGTGTAGGTCATCTAAAAAAGTTGAAAACACTTTCACATTTCATATCTCTATGAAGCCAAATAAAGTTAGATAATATAATATTTAATGTAATATTGTAATATTGAAGAAATTTTGATCACCTAAATATTAGGTTATGCCTACATTATTTGCCAATGGCTAATTTATAACATGTAGGTACATACTTTGAAATAAAAAATAAATAGATTCACATGCGGTGGAGTTAGTCATCGATGTTACATGTATAGTTCTCTATTTTTTCTCTCTATTGTTTTTTTGTGTTCCTCATCATGATCATGTTTAGGTGTTTATTGATGTTAACATAAACTTCATTGCAGGATGAAGTATTAGAACTAACACACATTTTCTTACTATTTTCATCTCCTACTAAACTTTATATTCTTTCCACTATCTAGCGGGTGGCAACTTACTAATCTCACGCAGTAGCATCTAAATGTGGTAAATAAGACTTGCATAGGGCATGGACCTTTTTGCTCTTTTTTTCTTGCACATATTATTTAGTTTTGTATTTACTATACTCTTCATTACATTAAAAATTATAAATAACGATGTTGCAATAATACATTGACAAAGTGTACATGATATGTAATTGCCTACAATTTTTCAATATAGATGAGGGGGTACTAGAAACAAAAAACAGAAGAGAGGTACTCTGACCAATTAAACATTTTGACAATAGCTGATTTGTTGTTATGGAGAAAATACTACCAAATTTTATTGCTCATCAAAAACAGGTTTAGATATCAGAAATAGCCATACCATACACAATATGTAACTCTTCCAAAGAATTAAGTACTAGTATTCCATTTTAGAGTAAGTTGTTCCTTCGTGTAATGAAATAATTCACGATTTTAAGGGTATTTTTAATTCAATTACTTATTTAGAGTAGAAAGAATAACTAATGTATGTTTGACAATGACAATGGAATATAAATTGAATTATTTTTCCTCATTTAAGTCAAGCATCCATGGATACCCTTTGACTGGACTGTGAACGATTCACAATCCATAAATGAATTATGTATTTGTGAAGTAATAGGCATACCTTGATATGACTAGTTCACTAAAGGAAGGGAAAAGAACGATCAAATGCAAATGGTTTGCACGATTCTCCTGTACAAGGCCACTCTTTAATTTTGGGTGTAAAGGAAGAAATGATGCACTATCTGATTGAAGAACAAGACAAGCCAGCTCCTGGAGAACAAAAAGAACTTCTTCTAATCTTGCTGCAGGCAGTGGACAATCCCCTAAAATTTAAGGTTTCAAGGTATGACACAACATAAATGGGAGACAAATAATTCAGACCATGGCGTAAGTAAATGTTTTACCTAGTTCATTCTCATCCTTCAAAAATTTATCTAGTATATATTCACATCTGATCAACAATGTTCCAATTGAGATTTTGCTAACTTCGGAACTGGTTGAATTTTG